TTCCACAAAGATCTTTCTTCCTGGGGCATGTCTTTGGGCCCCACTTTCATCTCTAAAACAAGACAAACATTGCTCCATGGTTGAGTGGTGGCTGCAGTGAAGACTGCAGTGCACACAGGCTGGGAAACATTATGTGTTTTGAGGTGAAAGCTGCCTTTAATATTTCACCAGCTTTAAAAATTCATCCCAAGATGACAGCCTTAGTCTGCCTTGCAGTGAGTCGTTCACAGACTTCTGTACCCTCAACTGCAGCCAGCTCTGTGCTAGAAGGGCCTCTTGCATGTATCTCCATATTTCAAAGAAAGATGCCTCTTCTGTGAATTGTAAAAATGAAACTCTCAGCAATTGCAAACTGGCCTTCATATGAATTCAGTGGTTTCAATCTTATGCCTTTTCCAAGTGTGTGGGACTGAAAAAGCCTTTTACAGAGAGCAGAGCCAGCATAGACAATGGTAGTGTCTAACAGCACATAGACACAGGAGCAAGTGTGAGAATAAGGTTACTGCAGAAAATCCCTCTTGTAAAAGCTGCTTCTAGTCCTTTTATACATCTGCTTCTACATATTCAGAGGCAATTACTGAGACTGCCCTGTGTGTATCAAATATATATGTACTGTGTGGCAAGAGCTTTGGAGGGGTGGAAAAAGCAAGTGTCTTCAACTGTGCAGCAGCATCCTTATCTTAGCTGTTTTAATGAAGTAGATCATATCTCTGAAGGGAAGTAATCAGCCACGTGCATGAAAAGATCTGTGTGACTGGTCTGGACGTGATCTAATTGCACCTAGTTCTGCTTTGTAGGACAATTTATGTTGTTGGATCAAAAAAACCTCTCAAGAGAGTTCCAAGGCAGAAGGACTTAAAAATGAACAACTCTCTGAAGCCCATAGACCATGTGTCAAATGTACCAGACTGCTGCTTGAGTGGGATTTTTCCAAGACTCTTGAGAGGTGGAGTGTTACTTAAGTATTTGTTTAGAAGAATGTGTAGTCTACTCATGCTGGAGAAATAGCCATGCCCTTTTACAGGAGTGCTTTCAGTCCTGTTTACTTTAGTTAAGCTCATAAAATGACAGTCAAAGTCTACAGAGAAATTAGTGGTTGAGGAGAGAATTAGAAACCAAAGTTCAGCATGATCCTGCAATTTTACATATTCAAAGTGTTTTATACCATCTTGTGATCAGACAGGCTTCAATGGGAATAGTTTTTGCTCCTGTTGCTGTGTATCATCCATGAAGTATGGATGGGTAAGGATGCATGCAAACATGAGCAAAACTGGCAAAAAATATACTCCTTTAACTATGCTCCACTAGTTTCCCATGATGCATGTTGTGGCTAACATTTGCTTAATTGTTTTGCTTTTGCAAAAGACTTTCGGGAAGAGGAGTGGGAATACAATTATATGCAAGAACATGATTTTTTAAAGTCCAAGTATTTTTGTCATTTAGTCATTCTCCAGTGTGACCAATCCAATTTTGCAATCACCATCTTGCTGTGTGTATTATATGCTTGTCAAGTGGAACTGGTTGTTTCTTGGTAACTTGTGAAATGCCAGGGAGTTATCTGAGCCTAGGTGGACTCTGTGAATGAGGAGATATCTTGGCTGTTGCAGCTTAGAGACATTGACAGATGCCAACAAAGCAGCAACATATGTGGAGACAAAATTACATTCCTACCTTAAAAATTTGTGTTCTTGGGTTAGTGTTAAGGCAGTTGGAGTAATGCAGCAAAGCTCAAGTTGAACTTGGTCTGGACACAGTGGCTGCAGCTCCCTTTCTGCCTCTGTGAAGCTCAAACTCCCTTTAAATCCTCATCAGAGATGAGGGCTTGGGAGTCTCAATCTAGACATCCATGCCACATCAGTGTTAGAGTTGTTTTGGTGCCTGAGAGCCAGGGGCACCTGTAAGGGTTAACTCAAGCTGTAAAGCACTGCCTAATTTTTACAGATGGTGTGAGTGCAAGAATGAACCTCAGTCTGGCTTGGCAGTGCACAGAGATAACTTTACATAATTCCCTGCAGATGTTGCTGCAGAATGGTTTTAATAATGAATTGTGAAGTCAAGCTAGACTCCAGCATAGAAGGAGAACTCAAAATAAATGCAATGTTTTGTTCTGTGTTTCAAAAGCAAGTTTTCTGTGATGCTCTGGGTTGGGAAAGATGGCAGGGGACATGACAAGGGATTCTTTGCAAAAGGTTTGGGCTATAATGGTGCAAACTAAGATGATTCTGTCTAATTTGTCTGTAAACCTTGAATACCCATGAACCTGAGGGGGAAGAGGTGGTGGTACCAAGTGGCAGCTGCCCTAGTGCTTCTAATGAGGGGGTGGTGCAGAGCAAGTACTGCATGATCAGCCTGGCAGAGTTCTGCAGTTTGTGGCTGTCATGCACAGGCTGTGTTGAGGAGCTTGTCTGCACTGCAGCCATTTTCTGCTAGGAGTCAATTCTTGCACTGTGCTGTAATTTCCTTTCTGTAGGGTTATCGCTTGGATGTGCCATTATAATTTAGGTTTTGGTCTCATAAGGGATGTGCTCCTTCAACAGTGGTTGCTTGGCCACTCTGAGGCTTTGCACATCATCCTTGTGAGCACCCCTTTGTGACTTCTCTGCTGCCAGGGGGTGCTGCTGGAAGCTTCTCAGTCTTCTCAGTCTTCTCAGTTGCTGAATTTGTTTAAGTAAAACACACATTTTTCTGTTGACATGCTATTTCAATGGGCTATATTAAAGCTGTCCTTCTGAGAAGCTTGAAATTGGGGAAGAGAATTTCAGAGTGGAGGGCTGGTTTTCTCTGAACTTGGACAAATGCTGTGATTTCTCAGTAGCTGCAGAGGTTTCTCATTTATACTTTACCCTTGTGCAGAGTTTATAAAGAAAATCTTGAGAAATAAATTATAGCTTTTATGAGTTCTGTGGCAATTAGGAGCTTTAGCCTGAGTCATGTTTAGATGGACAGAGGCTCAGCTACACTATGGCCCCAAGCAAAAGACCTAAACTTGGCTCTGAGGCTAATGAGCCAAAGCAGAGGAGCTGTATTGTGAAATGGGCTAGCATGGGGTTAGTGTCAAGGAAGTGCCATCCAGCCCTCCAAAGATGGTTTTACCATGGTTTGAATTTGGCCCAAATGTACATTTTTCAGTGTAGGCAAGTCTTTTTTGCGTTTGTGTTTAATTTCCTTCTGAGGAAGAGTTTAGGTAAACTATTCCAGTCTAATTAATATCAGCTGGAAGCCAGCTTCTCACATTTTGTGCCTAATTATGAGTGTATGTTAAACTGTGTTTGCTACCCATGTTGATATGTTACTGGTGAAATCAGGAGCAACCATGAAGATGTGTTTGTGAAACGGTCTGGCAGATCCTGTGTGTTCGCTGCTGTGGGCTTCATGGCAGGAGAATCCACCTCCTGCTGAGGGAGAATAACTAAATTTAAACTTTCCAACCATGAGCCTTGTGAAGCAAAGTTTCCAAACCTCTGCTGGGCCAGAAGATGGAAATCTGTGTCTGAATTTGGAGAGTAAATAAATAGAGCTGCCTAGGAGCTGCCCAGGGGCATGTGAGGGGTTGCTGCTTGGGGTACATTGTCTCCCAGCCACGTGCCCCAGGGAGGAAAGCAAGGGTTGGTAGCTACTGCTCCCTGGTAAAATCTTCCGTGACAGGATTTGGAATGAACTTGGGTGACTTTTAGCACGAACACTTGAGCATTGTTTCAGCAGGGTGGTTTTTCTCTGACAGACAGTTGCACGTGGCATGGCAGCAGAGCCCAGAGCTTCCTTTTCCCGTCGCTGGGCTGGGCTGTGGAATCCCAGCTCTGGGAGGGATGTGTGGCCACCTCACACTCACTAGTGTTGGTGCCCATCTCTTTACAGCCCAGGCTGGCTTCACAGGCAGGCTTCTGTGAAATTTGCTGTGTTCAGGAGAGCCATCAAAGTGTAAACTGTTCTGAGGTCCGTGTACAGAAACAGCTGTTTTCCCAACTCCCTTTGGGAAAGCTGGAAGGGTGGTAATGGACAATAGTTTGCATGGTCCTGACAAAGCAGCTTATGTTTTCTGGGGAAACTGGGGTATCACAGACAACAACAGAAGTGGTTTGCTTACCTGTTAGACTTTTTATTTTCCTGTTGTCTTAACCCAGACATTATCTGAATGGAGGAGAATCTAGTTGTGCTTTTATCTGAGAGCAGCAAGTTCTTGGATGAGTGAGTCTATGTCAAAATCTTTGGAGGATTCAATAAATCCATGTAATCAAGCAAGAAAATAGGCAAGGATAGTTATAGTTGGAATGCATTTAATCTGAAACTGGCATGCATATAATTTTATTCATCTGTCCACAGATATGACCTAAAGGTTATATCCATATATATTGCTGAATACCTAACATTTTTGTAGATACTGGTTGAAACTTGGATGTTCAGATGGGAACACAAATAACTGGTGCTTATGGCCTCAAGAAAGATTTCAGTTGGTTTTTCTGTCTTTATTTCTGTTCTGTGCAGTACTTTCCAGCTTCCCAGGGTATTGAATTCAGGTCATGTTTGTTAAACACCAGCTGTGGTTACAAGTGCTCTAGAAGCACTTTTAGATCCTGTTCTGAAACCTGTGCTCTTCTATGAATGTCTTTGCTGTTTCCTTCATTTGCCTTTTATAATACTTCATATTAGGATTTGGGCAGTGTTTGTGCTGTTTCACATTTGTGCACATGTACATATTTACATATACAAAGTGTTTTGATACTGTAGATGTGCTTATAGCAAGACCAGCTTGGAGCAACTGACTTAGAGAATTTCAGTCAAAGTTGTCATGGATGGACTCTGAATTTCTTAAAATAAATTGATATTTGCTTCATTGCACCCTTTTTCTATGGTATGATAGCACTAAACCCTTTCTTCTTCTAGGAAGCTGCAGAATACCTCAACCATGACCAAAGCTGCTGACTGTCATCTTCTCTGTGGCATTTTACTATTCTTGTTTCTCTAAATGTTGACTGAGAAACTTCTTTTGCTTCTTTTTGTAGGTTGGTGGTTTGTGAGCACAGCAGAGGAGCAGGGATGGGTCCCTGCTACATACCTGGAATCCCAAAATGGAACCAGAGATGATTCTGACATCAACACATCTAAATTTGGGGAAGGTATGGAAAGCTTTTTATTACCAAGAGGAAACTGGTATTCTCTTGCTTTATGCTTTTTTCCCCCCAAGTGAGAGCTTCTAATTGGAAAAAGATTCATGATAGAACCACAGGCCATTGAAAGGAGTGAGATTTAAGTTTAATGGTTGCTTCTCATTAATTTCCTTTAAATTAATCTTTGAAAATAGTTTCACTGTTGTTTGCTATGGTCTGTTTTTGTGTGGAAAGGTAATTTTATTTGGTATGGTCTCATTCTGTTAAAAGTGAGATGTCATTTGTTGTGTATGTGTATTTAGCCGCACTGCATTCTTTATTTTTTTCTTTTTTTTGTACTAAAGATGCTTAATTCAGGTTCCAGAAATTGAATAGTTCAGCATTGCATGTTCCTCAGTTTCATTATGAAAGACTAACCACATCTTAATGGGCTTCTTGTGTAGCAACTGTGTACAAAGGACACTTTTATTATGATTTGCTTTATTCTAGTGAATCTGTTCCTAAATCTAGGTGCTCTTGATGTGACACTTATGTAAAATGCATGTAGAAGCTCAGCTGACCTTTCCTTAGCACAGGCAGGAGGCTTAGAGATGTGCTGGGGTCACCATCTGCCCATTAAAACAGCACACAGGCAGAACCAGACTTTTTGCTGGGCTCCAGGGGTGACATCTGTGGCTTACTGAAGTCTTGGTCTCTGTAACTCATTTTCCTCTGCTCAAGTCTACCCATACCCTGGGTTAGAGACAGACTGGCTGTGGACTGGTAGGCCAGGAACCAGTCTGGTATGATGCAATGTCTTAGTGGATGCAAAGGCAGTGAGTAAAGCTTCCCTGTTGTTAAAGAACAAAACTCTACTGCTCTGCTCTGCAAGCACTGAAGAATGCCTTGTCTGTTGGTCTGCAGCTTCCTCCCTTCTCTTGACTCCTAAACAGTGTGTGCTTGACAGCCTTATGGCTTAAACTGCTTTAATTTCATGCTCTCCTCCTCTTTCATGTTGCCCTCTGGAGTGTACTCTGCACAGGGGTGCTGCCACCCAGCAGTCTCTTCTGGGTAATGGAAAATCTATTAAATATTCCTTATCTCCTTCCTCTTGGTCCCTTTTAATCCATTACACTGCTCTCTTCAGCTGTGGTCAGCAGTCCTGCTCCCTGCTTTACTCCAGATCCAGATATGCTGAAACCTGAGACTGCCCTTCCCTTTCTGCTCAGTTCCATCTCAGTGACAGATCTAATTGCATAACCTCTGCAGCTGCTTTTATGTGCCCCAGATTTTGCTTGCTTGCTTGCTTTTTAGTAAGTTTGGTTTATGTTGTTAGCCATCTAAGCTGAGACTTCCTCTTTGTTTCTTCCCCTCCAGTTCTTCTTTACTTGGGCTGGTTTTCTCCATATAATTACTTCATAGGAGAAGAAAGAATTACTTGGATTCCCTGTCCTTAGAAAGATGTATCAAAGTGACTGTACTTAGACAGAAAACTTGCCAGCTCTCTCTAGGTGGGCAGGAGAATGGCGCTCTGATGTAACTGAGGAGGAAGGCACTTCTAGTGGATTAAGTGCCTTACCCTCACAATTTAGGTCTTACACAAGTTTCAGAGTGACTCCAACATACACTGACTTCCTGCAGCTGTGCAGTCTCTGCTCCCCCAACTTGGAGAGCACAGAAACACTGATGTAGGGAGCTTTGTGTATCAGCCCCTTGTCCCTCCCCATTTGAGCACGCCTGGAACAAATCCACCAAGCCAGGCAAACCTCGAAGTCTGCTCTGCTGTGGCAGGCCCAATAAAGACAGCAGGGTGCTGAACACATCTTGCTAATAATTCTGCCTCTACTCTATTATAGCAGTAATATTTTCATGTGTCCCTTTAAATAGCCTGTATCCTGAGAAATACAGAAGTGTTTCCTCCCTGCACCTGAGCTTGCACAACATTTTTGTTTGGATGAAAGCAGACTGATTATTACCTGGGCCTGTGTTTAGACCAACACATCTTGCAAGGCTTGGAAAACAATCAGAAAGCAATCTAAAGAATCATTTAACAGCTACAGGAGCTGATAAAGTAAATGTGTTAAAATAATATCTGGAAAGGTGTAGACACTTGTTAATAAGCAACCTTTTTGGTGGCTGTAGCATGACCAGCCAAGTCCAAGTCTGGGCAAAATGACAAAATTCAGTATTTTTAAGGAAAAAACCCTGGCTCATACAAAAGCACATTGTGGTATCAAAGGGCTGTCACTGGGGATGGCAGTACGTTGTGAGGAGACGGTGGGGTGGATCTGTGTGACCCACTGTTTTCAAGGGGTGTTCCTAGATGGCTAAATCCTCCAAACTCCCAGTGTGAGAAGGATCAAGCTGACTGCTCTGTATTGACATCTTAAGGCAGTTTCAACCCTTCTGCACCTCTGCATCCTGCAAGCCTTTACATTCAGCATTTCATTTCCTCCTTTCTTGTATAGAAACCTCCTAACACAGGCAGCCTTATTGCAACTTAACTTTTCTCTCTGCTATAATCTGTGTGTCTAGTGAGGTGTCCTGTGTTGTCTCCCTGTGTAGCATGTGTGTAACTGGCAGTCTAATGTCATGTTGATTTGGGTAAATTCACCAGGTTAAATCTGCTCATTTTTTCTCCCTCGATGGGCTTCCAAGAGGATCACTGATTTCCATGAGCCAAATCCACAGCTATCTATAATCCTGAGATTTGGTTCATCTGAAAGTTTGCGGTTGATTTTTGACCAACATGGGATCAAAGGGGAGGTACAGAGTACCAGAGACTAGATAATGTACCTGTTCAGCACCATTCACCACGCCTCCACTTAGGCTGGTGTGGGAAGGTTTGGGCCTTACAGAAAAGGAGAAATTGAGGAGAGTGGGCTAGATGTAAAAGTCTGGTCTAAGTTCCTGACAGATGTAAAGGACAAAAAGTCAAAAGCCACTCTTTGGTGAAGTATTTTTCCTTGTCCAACTAATGATTTCCCAATCAAATAATTTTGCTGTGCCTGATTGCCAACAGAGCACAATTCTAGAATACAACGGTGCTTAGTGCAGTATAAGATATTATCCCTAAGTGCACATATACAGAATTGAATTATTATTAATGATGTGATATCAAAGTTTATGAAGAGCTTCCCAGCACCACTGGTAAAATGATTGTATTTGCACTTCAGCTATCACTGCCCTGCAATATGTTGCATTGCTTTGCAGCAGCACCTAGCACCCTTGCAGTAGTTGCCAAATTGGGATGGAAGCCTTTGAATGGAAAAAAATGAAGTGTTTGGCTGTGTTTCTGTGCCAGTCTAATGGTTCCAGTGTCTTTCACACCTGTACAGGCAACAGAAGAATCTGAGTAGAGATTTAAGTATGTGCTCCAGAAAACAAGTGATGTCCTCTGTGCACAGCTGCTCTCATAGTGCCATTTCCTTAAGTGTCTTGTCTTTGTTTATACTTTAAGCATAAGTTATTGTTTGAGTATGTAACTAACACTCAGTCCTGGCTTGTTAGCTTCTTGAGCCTGCTGAATAATTGCAAGGTTAGTTTTTTCCTTATATCGTAATCTGTATATTAGAAGTTTTGATCATGAGAACCAGCTGTGGCAATGAATGCAAGTCATCTCTTGCAAACACATCAGACACTTTGCACTTGGGTTCAGTTCCTGAGTGCTGCTGTTATGAGAGAACTTACATAAGAGTTTGTGGGTTTGTTTATAGTGTAATAATTTTTCTTAGAGAGGTTTAGAGCCCTCTTGGGTTTGATGTCACGTGCAATAGATTGAATTCCCCAAAGATCATGCTGCTGAATTAGGAGATACAACAGCAATGATGATGTGTCCTGCCACTGCACTCTCCTTGGACAAGTTGTCTTTAGTTGTGCAGCTTGTTTTGGAGTGTGTATATGTTTTTGATTTTTTTTAAAATTATAATTACTGCTTCTTAAGAAAGGCCAATAGCAAGAGTGGCAATTTGTGACAGTTCTGGATGGCTCACATTGCTCAAGCTCAAGAAGTTACCTTGTTCCACTGTACTGTATAAACTAAAACAAAACATCTGCATCCCACCTAACCCATTCCCACTAACAAGACCAGTGCTTGTAAATACCATGTTTTGTTTTTGTTCCTCACCCTCCCATCACTTTTTTTTTATTCTTTTTTTTCCCCTTTGTTTTGTTTCCATCCATGTTCCAAACTAGTTTCTAAGCGACGCAAGGCTCACCTGAGGCGCCTGGACCGGCGATGGACGCTGGGCGGGATAGTCAACAGGCAGCAGAGTCGAGGTGAATTCATAGCTTCCTCTGGCACCAGCCACTCAGGGGCCACCAAAAACCACACTGCAGCCTCAGCAGCTGTGTGTCATGATCTGCCTCTTTGGCACTTTGGTAGTGAGGGGCCAAAGCTCCAGAGTTCAGGTGTGGATTTCGTACATGACAGCTTGAGGGTGGCTCGGAGCCAGGATTAGGCACCCCTGAGCTGGAGGCTGGTCATCAAGGGTAGCTCTGCAGTCTGACTTTGTGCTGTTGTGGAAGCTCACATCTGTTGTGTTTTAACTTGGGCATATTTGTGCTCAGTCTTTCCTGCCTCAGTAAGGACAAGTGATACTTTCAGGGCTATTAAAATTAGTTGAATGCCAAAAAACCATGGTCGGAGATGTGTACGCTGGAAAAGTGTGTGGTGTGGAAAGTGAAAATTATTCCAGTTGCAGTCCTCTCTCTTCCTTGCAAGCAGTTCTTGGTACTAAAGAGGGACATGAAAACTTTTGGGAGTTTTTGGCATAATTCCTAGGTATTTAAAATGGCACCAGCAGCAGCATTTTAGTTGGTTTGGTTTGTTCTGTGTTCTTTAGCTTTGGCTGGTCTAACAGTGAGTATGGCAGGGAAGGAGGGAACACCTTGTGCTTGGTTGAAGCTGTGTTTGGGTGAAGTCTGAGGAGCCCTATAAGCAAAGTATTTCTTAAGAGCAGGTGAATCATCTTTCCCAGACCAAAGGTATCCCTGTCTATCTCCTGCTCTACTTGGAAAATCATCCAGATGTGTTCATTGCCCTTCGGAAAGGAAAGGTGGGACAAAGCATCATTTGCACCTCTGTAACTTTCAGATAACCCTACTGAGGGAATGGATCCAAATGTAAACACAAGACATGATTCCCAGTTAATGGAAAGGTGCCTTTTCCTATTAAGGAATGTATTTTTAAAGCGGCAAATTTACCTTCTGGATTTGATGATGATACTATGTGCAGACTCCTGTCTCAAGCTCACCCAGCTTTTCAGTGACCCTTTAACTTTGTTTCAAACTATTATTGAGGAAACAAAAGCACCAAGAGCTGTGTCCTACCTGCCATAGCTTGACCCTGCAGAAACTGAAACTACCTTCAGAAGACAAAGTCTTGCTTCTCAGCCACCAAATGCACTCTGAAGGCACCAAAAACCCTCAATAGCAAACATGCTGTTTTTGGGGGGAAAAAGTGTGCTTATTTCTGTGCCCCAACTGTTTGGGAGCTACTAACTTTGCTTTGTCAAATTCTGCTAAATGCTTCCTGGCAATTTAACTGGGAGAATTTATGGGAATCCATTTTCGAAACAATTTATTTACTGGTGAAAACAGATGCATTCTTTCATATTCATACAATATTGCAAACAAAGCTCCATAAAATGTTAAGACTGCATAACCAGTCCCTTAGCAGTCAGCTGGTAAGACTCAAGGACCTAAATTGCATTCCCAGGTTTTCCCTCTTGCATTCTGATGCCCACCATCTGTGTGCATCTTCTCCAGACCTGCCCTCTGACCAGTGTCAGTGTCCTCCCTGGCAGCCTTTCCCAGTACAGGCTCCCCTAATCTCTTCCATCTTTGCCTTTTTCTTGCTTCATTACAGTTTCTTCCCTATTAGGCCCAAGCAGAGATGGGGTTTTGAGGGTGTTGGAGAATATGTGCCTTATCTCAAATTGAATCTTGGCACTTGGACTTGGCACAAACTTCAGCAATCTCTGATTTTATCCAAGGTTTGGGGCACCCTCTGTGACTGAGCTGCTTCTATAAGGTCTCTCCAATGTATTTCAGCTGCAGCTAGCCAGGCTGGCTAAAAATAAGCTGTTTATTGTCATCACAAATGGTAGGTTAGGGAATCCTTACAAGAGCAGGCTTATTGGAAATAAAGAAAGTGACTTGAATAAATGGGCACAAGTTGGAGACAGTGGCTTCATGATCTGGCAGAGCTGCAGCCTGTACAGACATCTACGCCTTCCAAACTGCAGTTGTTGAAAGTATGAGTCTCTCTGGGTGTCCAGCCTGCTGTTCTCTAACAAAACACAGTTTATATGAGGTCAGGAGAGATTTTCTCCCATCTTCCCCTCCCATCCCAGCCCAGAAGATTTCTAACAAGGCCAAATTTGGGTGAATTTGCACTGAAATGACAGAATGCATGAAGTGTACATATGCACTCCCCTGCCAACCTTCAAGTCCTTGCTCCAAAGCACAGAAGAACTCAAGTTGTTCAAACAGGAGGTTGCCAGAATTGTTCAACACAAGCAGAACAGCTTCCCCTTCCCCACTTGGCCTCTTCCATGGAAACAAACTCAATTAAACATTTTGGCTGAAATTCTTCCCACCCAGCAATATTCTGCTTGAAATAGTTGTTGCTGCTGGAAGCGTTAGCTCACTGGAGTTTAAAAGCAAGCTGTAAAGGATGCCTCCCTTTGTATTTATGCTTGGGTACCACTAATAAGCATTTTTATCAGTTAGGCTTGTGATAGAATCACTTTAAGACCAGAATCAAAGAAATTAACCATTGCTTCTGAAGGGGAGAATTTTCTAAGTGACTTTTAAAAACAGTGAGAAAGCCGGAGTGCAGATGTGAAGAGTGTGTGCGTCCCTGTTAGACTGTGCCTGATGGGGGTGAATTATTAGGGGTAGCATATGGCTTATTTATTTCTAACCTTTCCAAAGCCATTTGAAGAGGCTAGGCATCTCTGACCTCCAGATACTTGGAAGCATTGTTACTGGGTCTGTGAATAAGAAACATGAAAGACAAATTGTTGAATATCATGGTAGTGCTCCCTTTCTAAACCTGAAAAAAATCTGCAAAGGGAACAGCTGTAGTCTGTTTCTACAAAGAGAAACAGATGACTTTTGTTGCTGAACTTTTCTCTTTCAAATGGTCTGTGGTGTGCCCAGATCTAAGAGATTACATTGGTTTGTGTTTCTTATGTAGCTGCAAAGCTTGCGGGTTTTGTAATGTTAAGTGTGGTACATTTTCTAAACTTTCTTCTATACATTCTGCAACTCCAGTAATACAAATATGGGTTGTGAGGAGCAGCCTGAAAGTTTGTCGTTTTCTTCAGACTTGACACTCATTAGACCTGCAAGCTGCAGAGTTCATGTTTTGTACAGGGTTAAATAGTAATTCTACACATGCATTTATTTGGAACTTCCCCTGGAAGGAAACTTAGGATTATTTACAGGCTTAATTTAATAAAAAGTCATTTGTGCTTTTACAGTTTGATTGATAAAATTGGGATGTTACATGCCTGTCTTCTATGCCAGATATCTGACCTAAGTTATTGCTGCTTTGGTTTTGTGCCCAGTGCTTTCAACTGGAGCTGTTACAATGCAGGAAAGCACTTTAAAGTTATTCATACCAACAATATGGGCTGAATCTCTGCCAAATGAGCCAATTATTTAGGAGTAGCTCCTAGCACAAGGAATGAGCTATTCATTGAAAGAGTCTTCCACTGTTTGCCTATCTTAGGGAGCGAGGGAGCTTGATGGGCAAAGGTAGTGTGTAGAGGGAAGGCAGCTGTGTAACCCAGGGGTCTTGACACTTGAACCTCATCCTGAGTTGGTCTTAATACTGGTAGCCCATGTCCTAGCCCAGGTGGGTGGTTCTTCAGCCAGTTTTGTAGCTGTGGAAAGAGCACTTGGTCAGTACTGGTAATCCAGCCTGGCTGATGTGCCTGTGCACTCTTACACTTTCCTGCATCTCACCAGAGCTGCTCTGCCCTCTTTGGCAGCCCCGTCCGTGAGACTTCTCCCCTTGTTTTTGCTCTCTTCTGTTTGTGCTTGATGGTGATGAAATGTTTGTCAATCACAGCAGAAGATTGTGAGTGACATTGCTGTGCTAAATCAAACCAGCACAGAGCAGCTTCAGCCTTAGTTTGTTCTCTCCTTTGGATAAGTTTTTTGGGGTTTTTTTTGTTTGTTTGTTTGTTTTCTTTGTTCTCCAAGAAAAGTAGTAAATGCTTATTGGTCCTTGCTTGGTTGAAGTAAGAGCATGCACAATACAAAGCTGTTTAGAAGAAATGTCATTATTGTTCTTTTCTATCTGTTGGCACAAGGTTTTCTATGATTTAAAACGAAAAGCAGGGAAGGAAAGAGGGACAAAGGCTGAAGAGCTTCTGTCTGCAGATGAACACATTTGATAACTGTGGACAGTCATTCTCTCTCTGCATATTTAGGCAAGTAAAACAAAGTCCATGTTGAATTAATGCATTGCTTTCTGGAACAGAGAGACTTTTTCCAGAAGCAGGTCTGACAAAGGAGGGGTGAAGCGGAGGAGTGGGGGAGGGCAAACACAGACTGCTGACAGAGGGGAAAGTATTTTGAAAGAAAATTCTTCTGTGGTTTGGAAGATGTAGGTTTGGGGCTGTTGCATTTTGCTGAGAAATCATTAATTGGCTAATTTCTAGCCCAGTTCCTCCCTATCCCTTCCCCTACCAGCATATCAAACCAGGAGGAGGTCACAGAAAGCTGGGGGCATGTACAAGCACCAGCTGAGCAAAGGAAATGATTCCCTTATTTGGTTGGCTCCTGAAGCACTGCCGATAACTTCCACGCTTATTAATGGAGGCAGAAAAGAGAAAACTTACAAAATAGAGGTGAAGGAGAGGAATACGAACTGGCGCTCTCAGAACTTGGAAGCAGAAATGTCTGAGCACTGGCTCTTTGCCTGGGAAAGATGAGAGTGATTGTGCAGGGCTGGAAACGTGCGTGGTATTTTAGCTGCTTAAAGGCAAGGCTCCTGTCCCAAAGAGTTTACAGCCTAAACAAAGAGAAGGAGATCCGTGCATCAAAGGAGCGTGGGCAAGTGGCAATTTGGCATGAATCTTCTTGCAACCAAAGGGGTTTTCACAGGGTAAAGTGATCCTTCTTCAGTATTTTTAAAAGCTTTTAGAGAAGGACTAAAACTAAGTTTGTTTGGGAAGGCAGGAAATCGGGTAGGTAAGGCTTGTTTTAGGAAGGATTTGAGAGCTTCGGGTTATTTGATACCATCAAAGAAGGAGCCTGCT